ATCCTATAATAGGCTATATTATACAGAATACACAAAGTGAAAAACGTCAGTAAAATATTAACACATTTTTTTCTACGAATAGGGTCGTCAATATACTTCTAGTCTATACGTTTGGGAAATTACTTTTTTGCACATTGTGTGTATGTTTATGTCAGACAAGGCCGCTGCCCTGTTGGCAACACAGGAAACAGTACGTAAGCTAAGCATATATGCAACTAGAGAGGGGGAGCTTTGGGGAACTAAGCCCTGCCAACTTTGATTGTAGCCACCCCCCTGTCATAATTATTATAGTCCTACCAACGGTAATTAATTTTTAAATTTAAATTTGATATATCGTTTAATTTTTTTTATTAACATCTTTGACCAACTATATTATTGTATGTAATAACCCTGGGTAAAATAATATATAATTTTTTCTACATAAATTCTACATAATTTTAATCATTTAATTAATATTACCTCAGTAACACTTTTTTATAATTTATTTTATACACACAAAAAAATATGTCAACACACTATAATAATTAAACAATATTATAATTTTGATAATTTATTTAACATGATTTAGGAGGGGGGTGAGCACCCCACCCTTTTTTGTTTGGAAAATGCTAGGGCTAGAGCCCCCTCAACTTTAAGGTCTAGTTACGCTTAGGAAGCTAAGTACATCCTGTTGAGTACCGCATTCAGATTCAACGTGCCAAAACGGCCAAACCAATACATTGCTTGCTTCCCTCGGATTCGCAGAATGTAAAAATTGCTGAAAAAATAAAATAGTTTTTTGAACTTTTACATATGACTGTAACAAGCACTATAGTGAATCCGTAAACCGTACTTTAGTCTATAAAAAATATTTTAAAATGTGTGCACTTGGGTCTTGAACGATACGATCATATACCTACATATTATTATGAACGGTAAAAGCTAGGTTTACAACTAAAGTTGAATTGTGTAATTGTGTAATCAAATGCATTTACACAAGACACAGTACAATATTAAAGTTTTTATAAGGTATAACTGATATTAAGTCAGTAAGTCACAACAACATAATAAAACAATATTCTCAATTGATAATATTAGGTACCAAAACATGTTAAATGCTCACCATACATAATAAAAAAGGTGGGTAAGTGGATGTCGCTCTGCTGTACAGTAGGTTACAAGTAGGTCACTGTATAATGGATGGTATTAAATTTGAATTCAATGATACAATATCATTGTATAAGAAAAACGATTCTGAGCGAAGACAGTATGTCAGTCTAGGTTTAAGACATATTATATACATATCTATGGTATTAAAAAAAAAATTGACCTATAATAAATTCCAAATTAATCATATCACAATATCCACTAGGTACTTATAACACGTTATACATCAATAACAAACCCTGATACTATCATTGATATCTAATATAGTGTACTTTAGAAGTTTCAACTTTTCAAGTACCCACGAATAGTATTATACACTCACAACAAAATGACTAAAATAGGTATGCTAGGTTTTTTAATATGTAATTTCGTCCCAAATTTGAACTTAAAATGTCTGTAAAAAATAACTGTGCTCATATATTTTTTAGATTTTTTGGCTACAGTATGAACTATTTATGAGAATCTTTTTTTAAATTTTCAATCTTTAGCAATAAAAACTGAACATTTTATAATTTATTAATTACGATGGTTG